TAAGCTATCTATACTGACAATATGACAGAAATGGCATCAAGTCATTTGTGATGGAAAGCTGATCATTCTTCCCATTCAACTTCGGTTTGCGCGTAAGAATGCATGCAGGTTCAAGCGCTGAGCGAGCAGCGATTCTTGATTCGTGACCTGGAATGATGCACTCGATATCAAAGTCATTGCCGTGATGTTCTACCTTCCTGTGTTTCCCTAGCGGACTTGATGTGCTTTACCGTCTCTTACTGGCCAAGTGCTCATTAACACGCACGCTGAGTTGCTGACCAGTCTCCCCTATGTAGGTTGCATGACATAACCATTCAATTTCGTGGACGACTCCAAACTTAGTACAACTTTCAATCCTTCCGTAAACGCAAATGACGCAGTTCCTCGTAGTACAAGCTGCATCGTATGAACGATTACGCACCAGCTTTCGCTTGATGTTGCTTCAAAGAATGTTCACGAGAACAACATCTCGCTCCAACTGAGTTTGTAATATGCAAGTCTGTAAAGCGTGCTTTACCTGATCAAGATTGAATGGTAGGCATAATGAGACAATGAACCAGTTTGGCTATCGTGACCATTGTGGTATCCTTGAATGTCTAGACCTTGATAGGAGAAGCCATTGAAGGCTGCTATCTCATTCGCCAGCTCAAGTGATTCTTGTCGTTCACTCTCCCCACTACAGACTTCTCTTGCCGTTTTGTACATGTTCCGCAATACTGTTCACTTTACGGGGATGGCATGGGCTGACTTGGCGTGTAAGATAATATTCTCAAAGCTCTCTTTGCGGTACCATACTACTCGTATCATTTCGTTACTCAGCAATAGCTGGGTGTCAAATGTGGTAAGCAACTATGTCGAGGAACTTCTCTGGTAAAACTATACACTGTGACTGACGATTGAAAATCTTAAAGCACTCGTCAATTTCGAACTGTGTTGATGTTACAGTGCAACAACATCATATATCGGTAGATAAGTGGGCTTTATAATAGCAGCGGTCTTTCACTCCTGCTCATGAAGCAGATGGCTAGCGAAGGTGCTAATCTTTGGCCCATTACCAACCCCTCAATTGCGGACAGTACTACCTGACCACCTAAAGATATCATAGTCTAGACTTTCCTTGATCAGAGTCATTATACGTGCCTTACTGAGCCCATATGTCGAAATGGTGTTACCATAAGCTTCAGACAACTCAAAAAGCGCTTGTAAATCACATTGTAGACGTTCCTGTAGAGTAACGTTACACCGAATGACTTTATTGCATAGCCCTGATCGAACTGAGCATGGCGCAATCGATCGAGAAATTGTCTAATGTTTGTCAAATGGGGTGGTATCGGGATGGGTGACATTCTACCCAAGAACCATGATATCCTATCGGTTGGCCCATCATACAGCTAAAGGTCAATCGGTTTTGTAGACAGAGGTCGACACGGAGCTCATGTCACAATCACAGAGATTATGGGTCTTCAGAAGGCTGTAAAATACGGCACAGCATGGGCAAGCTTAACGTCCTTTTTCACAAATTATGAGCGGTATTGTAGGTGGGTGAAAAATCGAAACCAAATCGACATGTTTTTGAATCCTTGTATTCACCTAAAGTCTGCCCCAGTCCAGATCAGACGGAAACTGGCATGATGCGCCTCCTCATCGCTATAATTTTGCATCTCGTTCACACTCTATCATACAGAAGTCTGGACCTGCCTGTTTTCTATGCAATTTTTAAAATCTATTCAACGTGTGTTGGTTTCCTTCCCCTTTACTTGACTTTCAACTGAAGTAAGCTGCAACATCAGCGAACGAGTGATTATGTGCAGGATGGTTAAACAAAACCACAAAAATCCCTTTAGCGCTGAAGTGTGAGCTCTTCAGACTAGTGGAAAAAATGTAAAAACGAAGACTAACCTTTACCGAGAAAATGGAGACTACTACTCTCGCAACTATAATTGAGACTAATGTATGACTAGAACATGTTGCTTACCTTTCAAAAGTCTGCAAGAAAAATTGAATCTGAAAGGGTGCATATTGACCCGCAAGTTCCGGAGCAAGTCCAACACAGCGCACAACTCGAGTGCTGAGCTAGAACTTTGAACTTACGGGTCAGTATGAAAGCAGCCTAAGAGCAATCTGGGACACCGAAAGAAAAACAAACGAGCAAAAAGGAATACGATAATGCTGATAAAGAGTAGAAAGCGCCAGCATTTTTTCCAAAACTGAAGGGAAGCAGTGCGCAAACATAATTCTGAAGGTGATTAAGAATCAGAGTGTTAATTGGTTGCCATTTTGAAAATCATACAAGTCCCTTCGCAGTATGCACATAGCTGTTGACGCCGTTTTCGGATAGATTTGATGGAAATCATAATTCAAAAAATCGAACACCATTCTAAACGGTGAGGTAATACAGTAGATAAATATGACATTATCTATGTACGAAGAGCTTTTTCTTTGTTATGTAAGAGAACTAGCAGGAACTAGGACATAACACTTCACACATACAGCCACCGGAATAAGGGTGATATGCGATGATTTTGTAGAATAAAATGAATTTCTTCAGTGATAGGAAGATGGTTCGATGGTAATCGTATAGAAGTATTGAAGCACTTTCCGACCGAACAGGCAGGCGCGACCAAAAAGAAATATAGCAAAGTGCAAAACGAAATCTGTATGAAGAAAGTGCTCATCTTCTTTCAGTTCTGATATGCACTGAATATGCATCGCACATGTTTATTCACCTACTACCCAAGAATACGAGAAAAGAGCATGAGATGAGAAAACGAAAGAATACGGTCCAGTCGTTGCAAACAGCAAATAGATGCCAATAAGGAAGTGTGGAAGAGACAACGAGTCTCGAACGTTGACGGATGTCCACTGCTCAGCACTTCACACCATTTTATATGAGCCACTCAATGATTAATTGCAGCAACTTTTATGACACTTCGGGTGTTATTGAGCAATTTTTCATTGAAAATATCGATTACGCAAAAACCTTTGCTAAAAGAAGAAAAACTGCCACACCATAGATGACAAAGATGCACAGAGTTACACTTGAGAGTCTAGTCTGCAAAAGTTTGGAGTCATATTAGGTGCTCATCTTTCAAATTCCTTAGCTTGTCAAAACTTCCGCAAGGACATCAGCGAGTTTTCAAGAAAAAAACGAGTCACAAACCGTCCGAAGAGCTATGACTAGTCTCTCCTACCTCCATTTAAACGTTTTATTCTCTTACCAATTAGGTAATCAATAACGATATGCGAGCAATTGTCGCCATTGTCAAAATACATTTCAGTCTCAATTGCAGCATCTTTTTTGCGCGGAGGATTTCGCAAGTACAGAGGTATCAGTGAAACCGATTTGACTGCTTAAAAAGGACTTCCGCGAAGTCGCGCAAGACTTTCGAATGTGACAAGTACAGAGAAATATGATTAACAAAGCTTGTAATCGCTTTATGTTACTCCCCAAGAAGTTGGAATACAGTATGACATGGCTGATGCTACGAATCCCGCACACGCACATGCTCATGGTTTTTCTTTCTGAAGTAAGACATTTTGAGAGGCATGAGCGTCGATTGAAGTTTCTGTCCTTTCATATTGTAAAAAACCACCCAAATGTGCAGATCGCACATCTGTATAAATAAAGCTGAATGTCTATTTGTCTGTGTGTCTGTCTGTCTGTACGTATGTTCCGAACGGAATTTTTATTTCTGAACTGATCCGGACCAAACTTTGCACCCACTTCGCGGCGGGACGGGTGTCATAGGCTACTTTCGCCATCGATCGATATCGATTTCATCGATTTTGTGTAAGGTTTGAGCTACGGCACGCGCCATACTTGATCCGCTTCATCCACTTCGCTATTGGTCAAATCATCAAACTGACCAGTAGTGAAGCGGATGAAGTGGATCAAGCGGATCAAGTATGGCGCCTGCCTACGGGGCTGGGAGTTGGCACAGGGGGATTAGTGAGCATGCTCAAAATATTTTAATGCTAGGGCCGGGCGAAGCCGATTTTATCGGTTAGTAAGTTTTGAGCTTAAATGAGTAAAGCTCGAATACTACGTTGTTACTCCTTTTATCTTCGCTTATGTCAATGAGATGAGCTCAAAAACATCCTCTCCTCTCCTAATTCTTCCTATCAGACGCGGATACTGCCTCGGATACTTACGAAGACCATATGGTAAGAAAGTAAGAGAGAGACTCGTTGAGCATGTCATACAATTCCTATATGACTAGACACTATGATGCCGCATCATTTGAGAATGGATGAACAAAAAGGTGAGGGTAATCAAATAAAGCGGTGCAACGAGTTGCTGCACACTTCACATTCCATTCAATCATTTCCTCAGCAGACAGAAGCAGTGTGGCAGCATGACCTCATTCTGATAAAAAGGAGACGATAGACAGAGTGTAGCGAGTAAGATTGGTTAAGATGATAAACTGCGACACATGCCGAGGAAAACAAAAAGAAAATTGATGGCAACGAATTCCAATGGAAACTGTAGATCCAAATAATAGAATAAAAAAACCAAACCAAAGAAAACTCACGAGTGGGAACTATCTTATACACCTGCCAGATAGAAGCTTCTAGGTTATCGCAGGAGAGTAAGTAGTATGGGAGCGTAACAAACTCAAACGTAAAAAGGAGTACATTCTTCACCTTTAGAAAAAGTTGGAGTATGTGGCGACTTGACGCAGTTTCATGAATTACAAAGTCTTCTACATCGCTTTATTGTATCACAGAGACAACGATAACAGCAAATAGAAGCATAACAACATCAACAAAGACCATATACTCTGGAAAACATGATGAGGTAAAACAAAAATTGAAAAAAGAAACATGACTGGTCAAGAAGCCAAAAAAGATGCATACCCAATGCTGCCGGATACACAATCTGAACGTTGGGTGTGAGTTCGCAGATGGCTTTGTGGAACGGGTTAGAAAGACCAAAGAACGACAGAGCAATCTTACGCTATGAGATGAAGGACGCTCAATGTGAAAAAGACTCGGTAGTCCCTGAACGTACGTTTTTGCAGGAAGTAATCATACTAACGCGAAGCATACAGGCTGTTTCAATTTCCACTTCCAGGTAATCAAGTTGAAAGATTCCAGAAAATAAGATAAATCTCCTCTAGAGATCTGCGTCATGAATGCCAAGACATAAGCTTCTCCAGGTCATACTCTCAAAAAATGGATATATTACTGAAATTCGTAGGCGAACGGAATTTCATCCAGATGTTTTTCTATTAACGCGCATGAGATGAGCTGACAAGCAGAATTGCTGAAGACAGATTATCACAAGTCTGACAGTGATCAATGAACGAATCTAACAAATGACGTTCCAGCAAAGAGAAAAAAGTGAGCGATTTGTCTTGTGAAACTGGTTTCTGTTTCAAAGAAACCATCAAGAAGATTGATAATCGTCATAACTTGCAAGAAGAACGCGTAACGGTCAAGAAGAAGCAAAAATTCTTTTACATGTGTTGAGGGGGTAAATACTCATCATTACTTGAAGTTACGTGAAAGAAAAGAGTGAGTTGTTGACTTGCGTTTACAGGTTGTTTGGGGCACGATTTCGATTCGGATTGTACTGGTGGGCATCTGCTTCTTCAGCATCATCATCCTCATCACTGCTTTCTTCTTTTTCTTCGTCGTTAATTTCCCCTTCGGTCTCTTGTTCATCCTCATCGTACTCATCACTGTCACTGAATGAGTATAAAGTTCATCTACAGATTAAAGGCAGTGTCTCACCAAAATTTAGTTGCCGAGATTTTTGCATTTTGCAAGCCTGTCGGACCCTGTCTAGCATTGTATGGGCTTAAAATCGCACGAAGTTCCCAAAAACCCCGTTTTTGGAGGCCCCGGGAAGCAACGTGGACGAGTTCTACTTTTTAACTTCAGCCTCAGTCACCGTGGAGCAACAGAGGGGAGGTGGATGCCAAGTGGAGGGACATGTTCAAACACGTAAGGGGGGAGACCGAAAGAGTCGTCCGCGCGTACCAACTCGCTCTCCGCGTACCACTTTGAGTGAATTTTTCTCAGCGTGGAGGGGGTCAAATTGAGTGGAACTTGTTGCAGTGGCCTGTTTAGACGTCCCTATAATATGATATATGAAGATTCGCGCGACCTCAACTTTGGTGAGACACTGCCTTTAAGCATTCCCCTTGCAAAAAAAAATGTAAATCTACAAATAAATTTTTAATTAGTAAGTAGATCAGCTTGAGGTGGCTGTTAAAAACGAGAACCTCAACTACACTTCTTGGCATTTGGCGCTCGAGCCAAGGCGATGATCGCCAGGTATCACTGAACGCGACAAGTGCGTAGAAACAGTAGCACTGTAGGCCAACCTCGGCGGAAGCATATCGTCGTCAATCATCGCGTTCTCGCCCGTTCGTCCACGTTTCGCATCTCTGGTCATCAATCTTGCTTGTTCCTCAAACCTTGCGGGCCACCTGAAATGGAATAATAGAAAAATTGAAAGCGGACTGTAGAATGATAGAGGAGCAAAACAGCTTGGATGCATAGTTTCGAATCCTCACCTTCAGATAACGCCATTGAAGGTAAATGCATTATGAGAAATTCAAAGAAAAGGAACTTTTGGAAGATGTAAAATTCCCAACAGAAAATACTCCTCTTAAAATCAGCATTCAGAAAAGTCGGTGTAAAAAGCACTATGGTCTACCCTGAAAATAATGGAAAATCCTATGAAAAACATCCCTAATGAACTGATGTTCTCGCTTTAGTGTGCACAATAAAACAAAAAAAAAACTTCAAAGCTCTAAGGCCCGTATGCACGCACATCCCCGCCGAAAAGGGGAGGGATGCGTCATATCTCGCTACTCTACGTATCTTCCTTCTTCTTTCTCTATCTTGCTAATGAAGGTTCTCATACATTCATACCTGCGCATAATAAATGCCAGGTTACTTCCATACAATATTGGTTCTTTGCCACTTTGTGTGATCCCCAGGGGATCACCTCTCATTTTCAAGTGATTTATCTTCCTGAAAAGTTAATGAAAACGCTGCAAACTTGTACTGAGGATACACTACGGCACTGCTAAGCATGTTTTCGACAGGAAAAAGGAATCTGAAGATTGTGAATTTCTCGATAATCCATGGCTCGTGAGCAGTAATTCATCGAAGGTTACGATTTCCTGGAATTCTACTTATTTCTACTATAAATATGTTCAGCAGTGCCATAGTATATCCTCAGCTTTTGCAGCATTTTCATTGACTTCTAAGAAAGATAAATGACTTTGAGGATGAGAGTTGATCTCCTGGGGATCCTCGGGGGACCACACAAAATGGCAAAAACTAATCTTGTAGGCAGTAACCGGCATCCATTATGCGCAGATAAGGGTACGAGAACTTTCGTAAGCGAGAGAAGAAAGAAGAAAGATATCTTAAGTAGCGCGAGATGTTAGTGATCACTATGCATATGCACGTCTGAAAAGTTTCTGGCCTCAGGTGTTCTTTTAAGCCCGTATGCACGTAGACCCTCTCAGATCCCCTTCCATCTCCAGCGGGGATGTACATGCATACGGGCTTAAAAGGACACCTGAGGGAGAAACTTTTCAGCCGTGCATATGCATAGTGACCACTAATATACAGGTTTATATATAAAGTAAAATGCCTGCTGCTAACTGTCGAGAATAAAACTTCTTGAAAAATGGCAAGCACCAGTTTACAAACCTTCATGCTCATTTGCTCAAAAATTACAACAAAGTACGGTGAAACATTTGCACCTTGTACATGCATCAGGAGTCAAATGAAATCCACCGGGCCAAACTTTTTTCGAACTCAAAGGTACATAAATGCGTAGCGCACAGGTTCTAAGAGAAAAAAAACTCACTTGTTCTGTTCTCTTATGTAAAGTACGTTATCCTCGTCCAAAATTGACTCGATTTCTGCTTTAACCTAGTGTATGAGACTATATTACAATTTGAAACAATTTCATGAACAGCTTCGTGCAGATACAAACAGATAGAAAGTCAGTACCTTATCACCCTCCTCGATCGGTCGCACCACAACAAACTGTCCCCTCCGGATCCAGACCGCTTTTCTAAATTTCGAAGGCATGCTCGCGACATACATCTCGCCATTCTCGTCTTCAACCTAGAAAAAGGATCGTCAAGGTACAAGATAATCTGATGATCTCATCGTACTACGCCACACAGAAACATTATCAAAATCAAAATGCTATGGCTGATGGGAAAGACAGAAAAGAGATGAAAGATGCCTGCTCAAAGATAAATAAGATATCAAAAAACCACACACTTCTTGCGAAAACTTTGTTTTTACAAGGGAAGCGATTTGTCTGGCCTTTCCGGATAAGCTCTATACCATTTTATAGCAGATGCTGATTCCACATCTGCCTACGCTATCTGCCCTGCGCCTTTGGCCAGAGCTATAAACGTTTTTAGGTCAAAAAACTGAACGAACTGCTAGACCAAAGTCATTTAAAAACCGTTCAAATGGGTCAGCGTTCGGTACCGGATCATGATATGCAATGGATACTTTTTCGTCTAGTACATTTCCAATCATCAGTGCTGAACCTAAGCATCGAAGAGACCATCACGACTAATTTTTTTTATCGAAAATGCTCATATTTCGCAAAAACACTCGTAAGTAACTCGGCGTCCACAGGTGCGCCGCAGAAACTGGAGAAAATTTGGACCCAGCGTCCGATGCTCTAGAAAATGATATAACTCATCCAAAATACCCAATTCGACTAAAAATGCATTCCTTGTCAGTGATCCCCACAGCACTAAGAATCACAAGCAGCTATCCGCAGCTCTCGATAAGCAACGCTAAGCTAATAGCAGTTAGAAGGAAGGAAGACAGATGTCTATTTTCTCATCAACCAAATTATAACTCATACGAACTCAACATAACACTTTACGAACATCATTTCGTATTCGTGGACAAAAAATGGAACTCATTACCTCGTGTAAGTTGTTTCCTCTAGCACTCCGCACCTGTGCAATGATATCCCCCTCTACAGGTGTGTAGTATTCAGATTCCACCTAAACTGCGCAATAAGTGCGGGAAGTTCCCATATTCCAAACGGAACAAAAACAGAAAAGCACAGACTGAAATTCGCTAATGCTCGCCTTGTTCGTTATATATCTCCGTTTAGTTGAGACGGACATCTTTAGAACCCTGATTGTTTGCAGACAAAACCCGCAGAAGTTGACTCTGCAATCATGTTTTGGTTCTTCTAAACAAACTTGCGCATTTATAGGAAAACGCAACACTTTACCTGAGCAGACAAACTGGAGATTAACCACAGCTTTTCCAAACGAGAGGTAGCACGGTAAAAAAGAGCGAAATCCGCAGCCGCGGCGCAGGAGCATTGGTGCGCGTGTTTAGCAACGGAGCACCTCAAACGCAGCAATTCTTTACGATCTCGTAAATGCAGTGTCCCACCTATGGACAGTGACCTAATAATAGAGGACCCAAGTGGCGTTTAATCGACGATCGCCCCGTGGAAACCAAGAGTTGGCCTAGTAAGTCTGCTTTGTAGGGAAAACCTAATTACTCCGTCAGCAAGAAGAAAGAGAAAAACCCTGCACATCGGATCCCGCCTACTGCGCCGGATGGCAGCAAGAACGATGTCAGGGTCCTCAGGCGCCTTTTGGATTGGACGAAAACGACACGTCTGTGACAACACGCCATGGAGACTATCTCATGCTCTGCATCTACAACGCCAGGACAGTCTCCACAAACGCGGACCTCCACGCTTTTCTCGATGCTGCAGGACACATCAAGTACCACATCATCGCTCTGCAGGAAACAAAGTCCAGGAAGAAGGACGTGCTACAGATAAGTGATGGGCCCCCTCATCATTCGTGGTGAGAAGGTTCCATCACGAAACGTGGAAGGCGTTGGCTTTGTCGCCCACCCATCTATCGTCCATCTTGCCGATACGCATGAGATCCTATCACCTCGACTAACCATCTTATGACTATGCCCTCAACGCCAGAAGACCATCAGCATCATCAACTGCCAGTGGCGGTCGCAGGATTTCCGTCCGGGAGGAGGGGGACAAACAAGCGAAAAATTCTACATGGCTAGTTTGAATTTGAAAAATTTTTGAAAATTATTTCATGTTTTTTCAAAAACAAACAAGTCACTTGAAGACCTCAAATAAAGTTATGACTGGCCCATTGAGGAGGACCCAACGTACGGCTACGACCGGCTTCTAAAAGAGCGAGCCTGCGGAAAGTGCGCCTTAGTGACTTCTGAGAAGAACTTGGAACGTATTTCGAAGACCACAAGGAATTGCTCGAAAGAAGAAGACTTCTGAGGCAGGATCCGAATGCAACCTATCTCGAGCGACTGGCAGTCAACGCCATTTGCAGAGCAGCTTTGCAGGAGGATCTCAGAAATACAGTCAACCCAGGATACTCAAAGCAGCCGAAGGAAGACGAAGTCTCAAAAAATGCCGAAGAGATCTGTGAATACCACGCATCGCAGGCTGCACTATTGAACGAAGACGGGACTCCGACTTCTTCCCGACAGAAGATGGAATCTATCGCGAAGAACTTTCACACCAACTTCTTCTGCTCATCAAAACCCGCACTGATGCCGCCGATGTTTCCACTGGAGAAGTGCCGCCACGAATTCTACCTGCTGAAGTGCGCACAGCGATTCAGACCATGAAGACGTCCACGGCTCCAGAACCAGACCATCTTTCTGTCGACTTTCTGCGAGCTGGAGGACAACGTCTACACGAGATTTTCGCGTCGCACCTAACTACCTTTAGAAGGAAAGGATTCCCGACCAGTGGAAAACGTCAAGAACCGTCCTTCTCTTTGAGAATGGTGAACGGAAAGATGTTCGGTACCGTACTACCGTCCAATATACCTGCTGAGTGTGCTGAATAAGCTTTTCACGAAGATTCCTTGCTCGCATATATAGGATACTGGATGGATTTCGCAAAGGATTCAGCTGCATGGACCACATGCAGATGGTTTCGAGGGTTATAGAAGTTCACCGGGAGTACCCGACTGCCTCTCGTTCTAACCTTCGTCGACTATGAGAAAGTCTTTGACATCGTCGAAACCAATGCCATCCTGCCAGCGCTAGTCCATCAAGGAGTGAACCCATCTTACATGAGGACGTCACTAACTGCCACAGGGACTACAACGACGATGCAGCTATTCCATCGCCCCCCTGACCTTCCCAATTGGGAAGGGGGACCGACAATGCGACATAATTGGTCCAAGCTGTTCACAGCAGTGAATGATAAAGTCACTGGACTGAGACGAGAGAGGCACACGAATTGATGGGAGATTCCTGTTGGACTTTCGTTTTGTAGACGAACATCGTTCTCTTCTCGAGCAGTATCACCGAAGCAGAGACGATGCTGAAGGAACTAAACGAAGTATGGAAGAAGATATGACTGCGAATAATTCGGAAGAAGACTCAGTTCATGAACAACGCCCTTTGTAAAGATGCAGAAATGGAATTGGAAGGTACCCCTAATTTCTAACGCGTATGTCGGACGTTCGACAAACATGGAAAAGGGCTTGAGAGAAGAACTTAATAGGAGAAGAAGATCAGCCTGGGCCGCCTTCGGGCCTCTGAAGGAAGCCACCGACCTGACGGACCCGGAGCTCCCTGCCCACCTGTTCGGTTCAACCGTTCTCCCAGCGCTCTGCTGCGCAGCTGAGACTTGGGCCGACACCGTAGCCACTTCGAAAGCTTTAAAACCACCCACAGAGCGCTAGAGCGTAGTTTTCTGAAGATGACCCGACACAAACAACATCTTGTCGGACTTCGCAGTACGGATACGAGAAGAATGTCCCGTCTTCGTGACCCAGCGGAATACGTTGCGAAAGCGAAACACCGATGGGCCGGTCATATCATGAGAAGAACAGACGACAGATGGAACCTAAGAACATCTGAGTGGATTTCTCGCGAAGCCGAACATCCCCGAGGAAGACCACCGACGAGATGGGAAGACGTGTTTGTGGAACGGATGGACCAGCTGAGAAATCAGCTGGATACGATTTTCGCACCTAGAACTCGTGGACGCAGCTACCGACGTCAGCCAAGAAGATCGTGGATGTCTGAAGCGAGGAACAGGGATCAGTGGAAACTGTGTGATTACGCCCGCACGTCACGTGAAGCCGGGCCATCTAACTGAGTACCTAAATATTTGTTAGCCACATGTGCAAGCATGTTTAGGCAACGTCTGCTAAACAGCCCTCTTAGTCTCACAATCAGAAATAATGATGCTTTGTTGAAAGACGTATCATCCATTATCTGACTAGGTGGTCAGACCTCACGCGATGGCGCCTATCGCAGATTGCGACGACCGATACATATCTGCTGTACATATAAATGTATCCATGTTGGGTTGGTTGTTCACTTGAAAATGTATAAAAGCACTTCATTTTGAAAGATGGTTTATTTTTGGTCTCCTTCTCACGCTCATTCGTCGCTAAGCTCTCCATTGTCACTGGACCGTTATCTATCGTCGTTGTGCGGATAAACGACTATCGCGTATCGTGTTTGTCGTGTAGCAATATTGGAGCAAATCTATCGACACAACTCTATCTGATCCACACTGAGTTTTGAAGATCCTCCATATGGTGTATCGACTAAACAGATACGATCCTCCAAGTATAACAGCAAGTTCTCGGGACGGAAGCACGACATACTCGACTGGAGACCAAGAACTCTGAAGCATCGAAAGAAGGTCACTCGATTTTTACGAAAACAGGAAGGAGACGAAGAAACGACAGAATCATTCAGACTAAAGTCTCAGAAATTGTTGCTGACGCAATCTTGTAATAGCCTACAAAAAATTATCCGGCGATGCGAGGACGACACAGTCATGTGGGACAAGGAGATAATAAGGAAATTTACGACTGTTAATCACTGGTAGCCGAACTCAACACTACCTCAAAACTCGTCCTGGAGCATCCTAATGCTTTCGCAAGCACCGTGAGCGCTAACGATGGGCAAGAAACGCAGACATAAAGATATCTTGACAAAAGAACACATGCGCGCACAAACCGTGACTGTAAAACAGGGAAAAGAAATTCAGTGCTGTCGAGCCCTACCATGTGGCGGAGCGTTCATTTCAAAAACAGCTATCATCGATGGGTCATGTGGAAGTACCAAGGGCGACACTTCCAGCTATTTCGATTCCTACATTCATTATAAAAGTCTGGGAACACAACAATTTCTGGGCACTCTTGAAGCCAAATGTGCACAACCAACCGCTCACTTCGTAGTGTGCGCAATGAATAATTGAATTCCTGCAACTGGAATTCAATTATTCATCGCGCACACTACGAAGTGAGGCACACGAAATGATAAGGAGATGCGCCATTTCGAGAAAACTACAAGAGCGCAGTCGAACATTTACGCACGAAATTGATAAATCTCAACTCATCCGCGCACTACAAACTCGACTTGAAAGTGTAAAAGCCCGAGAGACAATATCAGCACAGAGGAAGCTTGAAGACGATAACTTTTATCGTGACGAAAGTAGAAATTCTGGGAGGATATCTGGACGGTTCCTATCTCGCACAAAAAGTGATTGCAAAATTTAGTACGAAGCTCGAGCTCCAGCGGAAGGTTTGGAGAAGCGGATGTTCCAAGAAATGCGAGAGCGAGACAGGAAACCTGATGATCATTTACGTTTTTTCGGACTTAGGATTTTTTAAACTTCAACTTGAAGCTTGATGCAGATCAGGCTTGGTGCAAACTTTCAAATGCATTGTTGTAGAGCTTTCTTTGTTCTGTCGAATGGAATCCCGCATCTTATTAAAAACTAGCTGGCTTACCCGGCTGCGCCCGGCCCTGTCAAAAACGATAAAGGTTCTATTTCTATCCCTGTACACCTTTATCTGTGCCCACTTCTACATACAATTCCCTATTCCCGCTGTGTGAGTAATCAGTATGCTCATCTACCTTCCTCACCAACCTCCCCCCCCCCCCAGCCCCGTAGCTCAAACTTTGCAAAAAATCGATAAAATCGAAAAAGTAATCGATATTCCTGAAAACTATCATTGTATTCGTAATCAGCATGCTCGATTACCCCCCCCCCCCTATGCAAATTCCCAGCCCCGTAGCTCAAACTTTGCAAAAAAATCGATAAAATCGATAAAAGTAATCGATAATCTTGAAGACTAATATTGTATTCGGAATCCCCATGCCCACTTACCCCCCCCCCCCCCTGTGCCAACTCCCAGCCCCGTAAGTGAACTCTGCAAAAAATCGATAAAAATCTATAAAGTCGATATGGATCGATGACGAAAAGTAGCCTATGACACCCGCCGGGGCCCGAAGTGTATGTGTGCCAAGTTTGGTCCGGATCGGTTTCAGAAATGGAATTTTCTATTCGACACATACGTACAGACAGACATACAGATATACAGACATATCGTTTGTTCCCCAGCTAGATTCCCGTAGGTACCACGTCATCTCACTGCCTTTCGCTCTTTTGAACATGTTAACCTCGGGCAGTTCCGTTGAAATTTCAGGAGAAACATGTCAAAAAGAGCGGAAGGCAGCGTCGCACCACGTACGCACGCTGGTTCACATGGGAACTTTTCTGGGGCACACAGGATACAAACAGACATTCAGCTTTATTAAGACTAGCGATCTACGGGTCGCTAGTAGGTGGGTGGGGGCAGATACATTGATATCTGCCATTAAAGGCAAAATCCACGCAAAATTCAGATTGGCGAGATTATGATAGCATACTAGTGTGGGCCTCCACACTAGGCAAACCCCCAAGCTTCGCCGCAAAAGACTGCTTCTGGAGCGAGAAATCCGCTCCGAAAGTAGCAAAGTCCCCGCCCACTTGCATGCTTTATCTCGCCTGCGCTTGTTGTTGAGGGTTTTCGAAACAGGAGTTTTTGGGGCTTTCGTGGATTTTCGACACAAAAACATTGAATTCGAGATTTTGGGTGGACGGTGCCTTAAACTGACTAAAAATCCCAAGAAAGTGAACTTTCCAGCGACTTTTCCGTGTTGTGAGTAGTAGAAACAAAACACTATGCTCTTAGGAAAAGTAGCTACTAAGTGACTATTCGCAAAGCATCTCTGCTGTTCCTCTTGCAGATACCTTCGCCCAGATAGCACAGCTGTTGAACAAGGAAGCTACCTCCAAGCACCTGTTTAAAACAGCTGATTCATCCCAAAACTCAGATTGATTTCCAGGAAAGTGCCATGTTAAAGAAAGCGTCAAGTTATGTCTTCCAGCAGCCGAAAACTGAAATATGTAGACAAATGATGTCTTGCCAGTGAACGGATTCATTTCTTAGAACAGACTAAAGCTGGCCCAACGCCTTCTTTTGAAGGACAATCTTACCGAAACAGTCCTGTCGCATAAAACTCTAGGTCTTTCCTTCCCTCGATACCAAGCCCCTTATGCTTCCGCTTTTAGGGGCAGAACTAGGGTTGAGAAGAAGGGGCCGTAATTTTTCCAGCAAGTTTCTTTATAATTTATTGACACCTGAAAATTTTTAGGGCAAATATCTTGCTGCCTTTGCCCTGAGTCTTTTCTTCCCTCGAGACCAAGCTCCTGTTTTTTTGCTTCTAACGACAAAAGTGTGGTTTTAGTGAAGTTTAAAAGGCCAAAATTTTCAGAGAAGATAAATCCCTGTCGCAAAAAGCTCATGGGTCTGTCTTTCCCTCGAGACCACTTTTCTGCCTTCAGAGGCAGAAGTCTGATTTTTGCAGAGTAGAATGGCCACAAGTGAATTTGAAACAGTATCTGTAGAATAATCATTGACACCCAGAAATTTCCAGCGAAAGTATCTTACTGGTTCAGCTTATGAGTTTCTTCCTCTCGAGACCGAGCTATCTATGCTATTTTGCTTTTATGGGTAGAACTATGGGTTTTGCAGAGTAGAATGGCCACGAATTTCAAACAAGTTTCTGTATAATAAAACATCGACACCCAGTAACTTCTGGCGAAAATATCTTGCTGCCTGAAGTCATGATTCTTTCTTCCCTCGAGACCGAGCACCCTGTGCTTTTCTGCTTTTAGGGCAGAAGTACTGATTCTTGCAAAGTAGAAGGGGCCGAAAGTTTCTGTGAAAATGCCTTGTCGCAAGAAGCTCATGGGTCTGTTTCCCTAGAGACTAAATTCCATGTGCTTTTCTGCTTTTAAGGGCGGAAGTACTGGTTTTTACGAAGTCTAGGGGGTCAAACGCCTTAGCGAAAATGTTTGTCGCATACCGCTCATGGTTCTGTCTTTTCCTCGAAATCAAGCTATCTGTGCTGTTTTGCTTTTAGAGAAGGAAGTGTGGTTTTTGCAAAGTAGAATGGCCACTCAGATAACCGCCGGGGGCAGGCGGCCATGCGAATTTTGAGCAAGCGCGCACCGGAAAAATAGTCCGTTAATTTTTTGCGGCCCGCTTGCAGAAATTTGGAAGAAAGTTGGCAAAATTAAAAACGAATGCTTGAAGAACAATCGCGGTTTCTTTATGGATTAGCTGCGGCGCAGTGGCCGCATTCTCGCGGACTTTCCGCGAGAATATGCAAAAATCTCGAGGGCCGCACGTTCCTTTGTGGAGGACCGCGCAACCCCCAGGTACTTTCCGCTGAGAGAAAGTACCTCAAACTTGAGTAATTAAACCAACGGTGACACCTCTGCCACACAGAGTCTTACCTGCGCTCGACGTACGCCCGAAAATACCTAAAAAGAGTCCGAGCGCTTGCTGAAAGTTTGGCCAGCGCTCGCTGGAAGATATTATTTGACGAGCGCTCGCAGAAAATTCTGTATTGCTGCCCGCTGGCAGAACATGGAAGTACCGCCCGCTGAAGGTTTGGCCACGCCCCAAATTTCTGCTGACCGCCTGCAGAAAAGCGCGAGTTTGCGGACCGCCTGCCCCCGGCGATTATCTGAGCAGAAGTAAATTTCAAGCAAGTTTCTGTATAATCATTGAACCCAGAAACTTCTGGCGAAAATAACTTGTTGCCTAAAGCCATGATTCTTTCTTCCCCAGAACTAAATTACTTGTACTTTTCTCCTTTTAGGGGCAAAAGTACTAGTTTTTGTGAAGTCTAGAGGTCAAACATCTTAGATAATCGCCGGGGGCAGGCTGCCATGCGATTTATGGACGAGCGGACACCGGAAGAATAGTTCGCTGTTCTTGCAATCCTGCGGATATTTGGAAGAATTTTAGCGAAATTTTGGACGAATGCTTGGAGAACAATCGCAGTTCCTTTATAGATTAGCTGCGGCGCAGTGGCCGCATTCTCGCGGACTTTCTGCGAGAATATGCAAAATTTTCGAGGGATGCACGGTCCTCTGTGGAGGACCGCGCAGCCCCCAGGTACTTTCCGCTGGGAGAAATTACCTCAAACTTGAGTTTGAACCAACTTGAATTAAACCATCGCTGACACCTCTGCCATGAGAGTCTCAACTTTGCTCGACGTACGCCCGAAACTGCTTAAAAACCGTAAGGCGCCAGCTGAAAATTTGACCAGCGCCCGCTGAAAGAGATTATTTGATGAGCGCCTGCAGAAAATTCTGTGTTGCTGCCCGCTGGCAGAACATGCGACAGCAAAGGAAGTACCGCTCGCTGAAGGTTTGGCCATTCCCCAAAATCCTGCTGACCGCTTGCAGAAAAGCGCGAGTTTGCGGACCGCCTGCCCCCGGCGATTATCTGAGTTAGCGAAAATGTCCTATCGGATGAAGCTCATGGGTCTGTCTTTTCCTCGAGACTAAATTCCCTGTGCTTTTCTGCTTTTAGGGGCAGAAGTACCGGTTTTTGCGAAGTCTAGGGGTCAAACATCTTAGCGAAAATGTCTTGTCGGATGAAGCTCATGGGTCTGTCCTTCTCTCGAGAGCACTTTGTGCTTTTTACTTTCAGAGGCAGAAGTATGGCTTTTGCAAAGTAGAAGGGCCAGAAGTAAATTTCGAAGCAAGTTTTTGTATGAATAAACATTGACACCCAGAAGTTTCTAGCGAAAGTATCTTGCTGGCTGAGCTTCTGAGTCGTCTTTCCCCCCCTTCCCCCCCCCCCTCGAGACCAAAAGGGCCAGAAGTAAATTTCAAGCAAGTGCTGTATAATCACTGACACCCAGAAACTTCTGGCGAAAATATCTTGCTGCCTGAGGCCATATTCTTTCTTCCCTCGAGACCAAGCTCCCTGTCTTTTTTGCTTTTAGGACCGAAAGTGTGGTTTTTAAGTTTGTGGTTTTTGCGAAGTTTGGGGGCCAAAAGTTTCAGTGAAAATGTCCTATCGGATGAAGCTCATGGTCTGTCCATCCCCAGAGACCACTTTTCTGCTTTCAAAGGCAGAAGTATGGATTTTGCAAAGTGGAAGGGACAGAAGTAAATTTCAAGAAAATTTCTGTATAATTAGATACTGACTCGTAGAAATTCTTGGCGGAATTATCTTGCCGCCTCAGTTTACAAGCCTTTTTTTCCCTCGAGACCAGGCTCTTTGTGCTTTTCTGATTTTAGGGGCAGAAGTAGGATTTAAAAGGTAAAGGCAGGCCAAAGTGAATCTATAACAACTTTAAGTAAATTTACCGTATTCGTCGATTCCAAGTGTAATTATAGAATTCTCAGCATGCTCACTTACTCCCGATCAGTGCCATCTCAGCCTCGTAGCTTCAGCTTTGAAAGAAAGATGAAGTCAATAAAAGTAATGGGTGTTCTCAAAAACGTTTACTATCTTTGTAGTGAGCCTGCTCACATACAACTTTGTGCCAAATACCAGCCGTGTAGCCCTAATTTTACAAAGAATAGAAAAACCGACAGAAATGATAGGTACTTTCAAGAAACTTATCAAAATCGTAATAGGCATGCTCGCTTGCTCCCATATGCCAACTCTCAGCGCCATAGCTCGAACTTTGCAAAAAAAAACCGATAAAATGATGAAAGTAATGGATTTGAAAATGGTTATCATATTCGAAATCAGCATGTTCTTACCCCTCTGTGCCAGCTCTCAGCGCCATAGCTCGAACTTTGCAAAAAATCGACAAAACGATAAAAGTAATTGATAATTCTAAAAAATAATATTGTATTCATAATCAGTATGTTCGCTTATCCCCCTGTGCCAACTCTCAGCCCTGTAGCTCAAACTTTGCAAAAAATCGATAAAATCGATGAAAATAGCGGATAATCTCAAAAACTAATATTGTACTCGTAATCAGCATGCTCGATTACCCCCCCCCCCCCTACCCTGTGCCAACTCCCAGCCCCGTAGCTCAAACTCTCAAAAAAATCGATAAAATGATAAAAGTAATGAACATTTTTGAAAATTGTTATCATATTCGTAATCAGCATGTTCGCTTATCCTCTTTGCCAACTCCCAACCCCTTAGTTCAAAATTTGCAAAAAAATCGATATAATCGATAAAAGTAATGGATAATTTTAAAAACTAATATTGTATTCGTAATCAGCATGTTCGCTTACCCCCCTTTGCCAACTCCCAGCCCCTAGTTCAAGATTTAAAAACGATAAAATGATGAAAGTTATTGATAATTCTAAAAATTAATATTGTATTCATAATCAGCATGTTCGCTTATCCCCCTGTGCCAACTCTCAGCCCTGTAGCTCAAACTTTGCAAAAAATCGATAAAATCTATGAAAATAGCGGATAATTTTAAAAATTAATATTGTAATCGTAATCAGCATACTCGATCACCCCCCTTTGCCAACTCCCAGCCCCGTAGTTCAAAATCTGCAAGTAATCGATAAATTTGGTAGAAGCAGTAACAAGTTTCCATACTGGAAAACAACAGACATGAAAACACATCGACCAGAAAAACACCATCGAGAACGTACAGACTGCATCCACCCTAGAAGGATATAAGAAGAACTAACTTATGTTGGTGAAACAGGTATGAAAAGACTTCCTGGATAACCTCATATTTCTGAAAGAAAGCATAGACAGTGGTGCGCTCTATATAGCTATTTAGATTTTCGAAAACCGAAAGTTCTGTCGCTCTAATTTTGAAATAACTGCTCTCTATGTGAACGTAGTTGCTTAAGCTTTGTTCAACTGGATTGCTGGCTGTAAGTAAGGGGGCTTTGGGTGACCTGATTATGGCAGCTCGCGCCCGCGACGCAGTCTGCATCTCTGTGGCGCTCGGCTTCTGATCATTCCCTAGCCTTAATTAGGTTAAGAAGCCACGCCTTCCAGCCGCCACCCAGTTGAATCAAAGGGTACAAAAGCTCCTTCATAAAGAAATAATCCTCTATTATTTGATAGCATCTTTGCGGATCTTTGACTACAAGATATTGTGTAGAGATAAGACTGCGGGAGATCACTGTAGGTTGAACGCACGGAGCGTACCTGCAACGCGGCTGCCGAGTACGGGCGCTATGATGACTCATGCGCGCGAATGCCAATGTTAGCTTGCCAGAGACACGCTCGCGGGCGTTCAGTCCGAACGATTACGTGTGGTCAACTATAAAAATTTGAAAAGGAGAACTGCTCTAATTGTCGATTTTCGAAAATAATCTCAAAAATTTGAAACGCTGCAGAAAAATCTGGGAGCATGTGTTCAAAGGTTTCGTGAGCTGCTCTTTCTGGGCCAAGTTAGCGCTGGAAAATGCGGAAAAATGCGAAAAATATCATCTTTGCGGTTTATTGCATTTTCCACGAGAATCACAACTTTTTCTAAAAAGCTCGATTATCTCAAACTTGGCACCATCAGAAAGAGCAGTTCACAAAACTTTCAAAAAACATGCTCTCATGTTCTGCAGCGCCCCAGAGTTTTGACAATTTTCGATAATCGAGACTTAGAGTGGTTTTCCGCCTTAAATCTTCATCTCTAGAGCCCCTTTTTGTCAACGAGCCGCACAAGTGTTATTAGAAAGTAAAGGAATTTTTCTTCTTGAATGGAATTTTTGTAAGAAATACGCTCAAGTAGGAAGCAGTTACGAATTTTTCAAAATCAAAGCGACAGAATTTTCAGTTCAACTTGATACTTCAAAAGACAAAAAAGTTAGCATTTTTGTTCAAGGCATTAACAATGAGGTGAATGCGAGCCCAACTTGAAATGGAAATAAAGATTAGTTTGATAAATGACAGTCTTTGCGATTGTATTCTGGTGATCAGAGATCAGTGTATTCTTCATCCACTGGCTTCAAACGCTGTTAGCAAATATAACATGTCTCAGAATATAGTGTAACAATCTTTATAAGGTTTACGGATAGAGAAACGAAGTCGGTGTTGTTTTATCACTTGCTCAGTCGCTTTTGTAATATTCTTCATTATTTGCCCAAATTCTCTTTCATTTGTAGCATCGTGCCGCAGTTCTTTTCGCAAGTCAAATTCTTGTGGACAGTCTTGTACAAGAAATTATCTTTGTTGACCCTTTCGCAGACCATCTTCTTTGCCCACCTTGACGGGATGCATGCGTACCTCCACCTAAAATAGATTAAGCTTTTAGTTAGAAGCAAGCCGTACAATTTGATCTTACCCAAAATCCGGCATGTAAGTCCGGACTTATCTGCAGTTTTGGCAGGAAAATCGATGGAAAAACGCCCTCAGCGCCGCCAAAAGGTCTCCCAGATAAGTTCGCCTAAATCCTCTCACATTTACGTCCGTCTGTCCTGAGCATGAGCAAGCGCGACCTAGGAGCACAGACCCGCGCGACCGCCCGCGTAGCTTGACGGTGTAGATTTAAACGAGGCCGCGAAATCGCCTGAAAGGAAGAGCCAAAGTATTCGACAAGCCGTGCAGACTAGTTGCTGACAGTTTCGCCGAGGATTTGTCATCATATACGCTGGATAGGTGAGTTCTTTTCTTAGATATAACATTTCTTGTGTGTTGGAATTGATGACGCGATAGTAAGGTAAGATTTCACCCCATTTTCAGCGAATATTAGGCAGGGGAGATTTATGATATAGGCTAACTACAGTGCATGCATCTCCTACAAAGCTTTTTTAGAACGCTGATCGTCGCGCATACTCTGTTCCAAGCAGTAATTGACGAAGTACAAGGATGCAAATGGTTCGTAGATTTGCAAAGGCTACAGAGAAGTTGTTCTGGATATCACATGTTTCAGCGATTGGAATCAAGCTGTGAACTCCCCTAAAAGAGACCGCCAAAGGATTCGACAAGTCGTGCAGTCTACTTGCTGACAGTTTCGTCGCGGATTGGTCATCACATACGCTGGTGGGTTCTTTTCCTATATAAGACAGTGCTTGTACACATGGAATTTTTCTGTCGGAAAAATCATAATAGGTTTTCTCATTGTACATTGCAATCATCTCATCTTATCATTCATCTTATCGTTTTGGAAGCTACAATGTTTTCAATACATCTCTCGAACCTGTACAGGCTACAACCCTTGAACTTGACTGCCTATACTTTTTGCTTCCTCTATTGTTTTCATGGCCTGACGTAGTCTCTGTTGACCCACGCCATACAGCTTTTGTCAAATGCTTTGTTTTTTTTTCACTACGGCTTTTGTCAAATTCTTTAATGAACGAAAGAGTGGCAGTCTAAAAACGTTCAATCCTAGCAAAGCCTTAGGCTTCTTTGTTCTTTTTCTCAATTGTTGTTTCATTAAGCCTGTACATCCAAGACAAAAGATAGTGTGGTCAAATTTGATGCCGCTTGCTTTTTCTTGCAGAAGAGTAAACGCGTAAGAGTAAGAGTAAAGAGTAGAGATGGAATGCTACCTGAATAAAGATCTGTTGCTTCGGTTCATTCTGAGACCAAAAAAGGCAGCGCAATTGCGCATCCTTCTTGTTTTCATGTGAATAAATAAGGCGGACTTATCCGCGGGACTCGGCGGCGCGAGGCTGTCACGAAAGCGGACTTAATTGAGTGTTCTTCTGCGGTCTTATCTGAGAGGCGGACTTATATGCCGGATTTTAGGGTACTTTGCGGCACCTATCCTATTTATCGGTCTGCGGGATAACCATCCCACCAAGTCACTCGCCCTCCTTTTGCAGCCACTATGCCACACAATGCCAACAAGACTAGCAGTAAGAGCTTCATTTTGTTTTCAGCATACATTCCTGCAAAAATATCTGAGGATACGTCAAGTTAGGATGGATCGAATATAAAAACTGCACAGGGTTCGGTAAACGGGATGCTAGTACACTCCTGGAACTACCTAACCAGTTGTGTAAGATTGTGACTCCATCAAATATTTTTCACAATAACCCTCCTAGCAGCAAGGTTGCCTTCAAAGGGAAGGCTACGGAAAAAATTTTGCATGCGGAGTATGGTTTGGGGGAACAGGTTCGATTATACTATTTTTGAGGTAAAGTGGCATTAGGTAGAATGGCATTGTGAATGTAAGGAAGGTGACAGAGCAAGATCAACCTTCGGAATGATGCTTCGAGCAACTGTGTACGTGTTGTAATATTTATATGTCTCGACGTTCAGGTGCCTAGAAATTGGTACTTATCTTTAACATTTAAAGCCACCTGCGAAAACGAGAAGCGTGCCTGATTTGCCTAAAAACATTCAATCAACAAATTGCAACCATTTGAATCCAGAATATGTCATTACGGAAAGAATCGCCATTCTAAGCCATATGATATTATACGTTTCAAGACTGTCAAGCACCTAAGGAATGGTGCTAGGCCAAAAATCACAAAAATAAGAGCAGCCTGATCAAAATATGCAAGCTTTGAACACTGAAAATATAGATCAAATCATGATCACAGTGAGGTCTGAACTGCAAGCACTTCATCATGGATCCAAGAAACCATTAGCTGATATATCTGCGCTGTCCATCTTTCAAATGTCCAATGTAGAGATCACCGTTCGTTCTAAACAAGTCCCAGTTGCTGTAGCACTTCCGCGTAGCAGCCTTCTGGTACCACCATGTCTTTGTAATCAGCATGTCCACTCACCTGCCTGTACCCATGCTCACTTACCTCCCTGTACCAAACTCTAGCTCTCCATGACTGTTTTCCTCAAGACATTCAATAGATTCTAGTGGGTTCTATCTAGTGGGTTTGCCTACTCTATGCTAATCCACGGTCGATCACGAATATGCATGCGGCGCTGGGTTAGCTTACCTAGCAGCGCTGATGTCGGTACCCATTGGCTACTCAAAGCACCTCTGGCGTGCTGGTGTGCGTTTTTTACAACTTCATAGTTTTATTCGTTTTTCGCTCTCTGTTACGTATGCAGGAGCGTCTCCACTAAGTTTTGACACGGAAAATTCGCTCGACTTTAGCAAAACTCTCGTAGGTTTGCGTTCCTACTATGCAAGCCAGTTGGACGGGCGTGGCTGAAGCATTGACTGAAAGCTTCCATTTCAGTCCCCAATTTGCTTTGGTAGCATACCATACTAGAGAGAATCAAAAGTAAAAAGGATACTTTTTGGACTGAATCTTAGAAGTGTATGATTTTCGCAATCGCACCATGCGACTTGCTTGAACAGAAAGTCAGAAAATGTTATTTTTCGGTTGCATTGATTTTTTTGCAACCTGCGGCTGTTTTGATCTATCTCTGTTATGTCGTTGCAAATACCACTCTTACTTAGTGTGTCAGCTTTTCTCGATGTTCGTCTGAGTTTGATAGTTTGCTATTTCAGATTAAAATGTCGGAGTTTGAAGTTTGTAGTTACACCATGTGCGACTGTCGCCTAAGACTGTATGCAATTAAAATTTTTTAGTATATTCTTTTTGATTATCTAGGACTAATGTTGGCCCTTTCTCTTGAGTTATCGACTTTCTTCATTTTTCGTGAAGACATCAAACTTAGACGGAAGGGAGGGGGGAGTAAGGAAGTTCGGTGTTCAAGAATAATAAATAACCTTGAATGTCATTTTTGATTAGAAAAATATTGATTTTTTTCAGTTTTTATGAGGGTTCTCAAACTTGGAAGGAGGGGATATGAAAGTATGGTGGACACTCAAACTTTGATTGTGATTACGTTCAAAAGCTGAGTATTGACAAAAACAGAATCTTTTTGCATAACATACGCTTATCAAATTTACAATGGTTGTCATCAGCTTCGTATACAATTCTTCGTCGTTGCAACACTGTCCGGAAATCTCTGGGATGAGCTGGTACCTATAAACTCCATCGCAGAGCATTTTTTCAAACAATAACAGCCTACACTTATCTCAAATTTTTGGGGAATTGTATCGTTACTATCTCGATTTTTCGGTAACAGTATTTGGCCCTTTGCTGTGATAATTTTGACAACCGAAAGGAAGTTCTACTTTCGAGAGATTACAAGTACATCATGCGCGTCCTTCGTTTGCGATAGCATGCAAAATTATCTAAAGCAACAAGCGGCCGTAATTGGTATCAAGGGGTTCTAAAATAATGCAGTTTTGGTCGTGTACAGATTGCGATAAAATTAATGGCGCAAGAAATCCTCTGGCGAAGTTGTGAGAGTTACGCCTTAGCGGGATCCTCGACCACCTGCGGATTTCAAATTGAAAGTTAGAGTGCGCATGCCGCTATGATTAAGATGAAAAAATCGGTTGCTCTAAATCTCAGCGTTGGCGGGAACTGCTCCGGTCTAAATAGAAACTCTAGAGCCATTTAAGTCGATATACGCATATATCAGTGGCGGTCCGAGAAATTTTTTTCGGGGGGGGGGGGGCGACAAAATTTTTTTTCTAAAGAAGGTGCGTGGCGTTAGCCACACACTCCGAAAAAATTTTTGGGGTGCTTCTTAAAATTTTTGAGGGTCCCCGACCCCTGAAGTTTGAAAAAAGGGGGCGTGGCGTCAGCCACGCCCCCGAAAAAATTTTTTTTATAAGGCTAAAATAAATTTTTAAAAAATTTGAAAAATTATTTTAATTATTTTCAAATGCAAACAAGTCGTTTGCACATTTTTACAACCCATATAAGTAAGTTTCAAAAATTTCGCGACCCATTCTCGGGGGGGCGCGCCCCCCCCCCCCCCCGCCCCCCCCCCTTCGGTCCGCCACTGGTATATATATGTATGTCGTTCACCAGATACGCAGCGTGGTCAGCTTCGGAGAAAAATATATCAGCCGTGAGTGCACTATCAGCACTGCCACTTGTGATGTCATAGGTTTGTATGCATGGACATCTATAAGAGGGGATCGGAGTTAAAATGATGAAAAATCGCAGCGGAGTTCGCTCGCGTTCCTTTCATAGCGGGAGGATGTTGCATATAAGCCCTGGAGCAGAATGCACGAAATCTCCGCCGAGTAGGAAAACGCATTCGAAAGAAAGCTTCAATTCCTGAAGCTTCGGAGTTCTGATTCTACACTATCTATCTGTTCTCAGTCTACTATCATATTAACTGTTAACATATTGAACAGGAACGAAATGTGTTTTGAGTCGCATTTTCCAGCTTTTATATGATAAGCCAATGAATTCTACTGCCGGCCATTTTCCAGAGTTATTTTTATTGCTCCGAACTCAATGACACATTCCAAAATTGTAAGCATTTAACCCAGCTGTGCATGCATTCCAGCTAGAACGAATGAGTTATTAGAATAATGAGTTCTCTAAACACCTCATTTGTGGTTCATCAGAACTTTCGTCACTCATCCATCATTTATTCCTATCGCAAACATGCTTAACACTTTTCTATTACATATATAGAATGTGGCAAAAGTAAGTAAATATCTCTCTTTCCATTAGGTTTTTTTCCGTCAGTCGAGTACCATTCTGTAAAGGAGGCTTCAACTTAGATTAACCGTACCGTAAGGAGTCACTGATCGCTCTTCATTACTGTAGCATTCGTGGAAACTTTGACTAAGTTAGGCCATTGGAGGCCGTATTTTGCCTCGGAATAAAATCAAACAAGCCAGAAACTCTTATACTATAGTGATAAAAGCCGCTGATTTCGAAATCAAAATTTCCATTTTACTGTGATGCTTCTTTTCAGAGTTATCTCAGTTAAACTGTAATAACCAAATTCACAGCAGTTGTCAAATGAGATCACACGGTCAAAAATGCTGAAGACACTCATAAAAAGTTGTGTAATAGAATCAGCGTGCGCGAAAACCCTAGCACACAATTTTTCAGGTTTTTTGAAGAACATTTTGGCATATTTCACAATGGTTTCACATGCTGGAAATTCTTACCGATCCTACAGTAGCGAAGAGCTATCGGTGATTCTCTCGTTGCTGTAAATCTAAGTTGAAGTCTTCTCTACAGAATGGCACTCAAAAGGAGGAAGAAGACCCACTGGGAAGAAAGATATGAACAATTAAAAGTGTGTACTTACTTTTGGGACACTCTGTATAATCAGTACGGCCACTGCAAATATTTGTGAAAAAATGTATGTGGTGCGCCCTATACAGTGCTGGACATAATTATACAGCCACTCTAGAAATCGTCGTAATTTTTGTTCTTGTCAATGGATCTGTCTGAAACATTGCTGTATTGTGCGCATGTCAACCTACCATAACCCCTCAAAACGGCTTCCAGTCTTGTTGAGTTTGAACGGAGAAAAACGAAAAAAATCGAAAAAGCCCTCTTTGAAAGCTAGACAAAATTATACAGCCACCTGGTTTTTCTAATCACTATCGCATTCGTTGACTCTCAAATTTTTTTGTAAAATTACATCCCAAAATATGAAACATTTGCGACACTTACGGCCTGTCTTCCTACTCAAATAGAAGCAATCGCTGCATTTCTTGCTTTTAAAAGCATTAAAAGTCAATCTCCTTCAACAAACAACTGCTTTGAGGAGTTTTCAAGCTCTTGTTCATTCCAAATGATAATCATGGAATCTACTGACCCTTCTGGATAGATGAGGTGAAGAGCGCTTTCGTAAACTCTGCGTAATCGCTGATTTTGACGGACAGACTCCAACCTCAACATAGGTTTGGAACGCTTTTAAACCAAAAAACTCAGTTTGCAATGTCCACAAAGTGCTGAACTTGATTTATCACATTGTCTACATGGGGATACAGCTTTCGCAACAACTTTCAGATTTTTCCTAATGATGCGGTAGCGATTTAGACCTGGAATACTTTCCACAAAAATTCCCTGCGAGCGGAAGATTCGATATAACCCTAGATCCTTATTTCCGTCTGTGTTTCATGTCATATTTCACCCGATGAATGAGATTAGCTAAGATTTTGAAGTTTTAAGCGTCTCCGGTTTTATCTCGTGATCTGAGTTGGCTTTGATTGTACAGGGTGCTCCACTCAACATTCAGTGAATGTCAACTGCGGCTGAATCAGAGTGCTCAGTCCCGAAATTTCTTCCCAGTCATGCGCACGAGTTCACTGTTGTATGGCTGTCGTAATGGCTACATTACCGTATTTTCTGTCGCTTGAAACTCGAGTTTCGTGGTACAAAAGTGCGTCAACCCTATGGTGAGGTTGGAGTCTGTTCGTCAAAATCAGCGATTACGCAGAGTTTACGAAAGCGCTCTTCACCTCATCTATCCAGAAGGGTCAGTAGATTCCATGATTATCATTTGGAATGAACAAGAGCTTGAAAACTCTTTAAAGCAGTTGTTTGTTGAAGGAGATTGACTTTTAATGCTTTTAAAAGCAAGAAATGCAGCGATTGCTTCTGTTTGAGTAGGAAGACAAGCCGTAAGTGTCGCAAATGTTTCATGTTTTGGGATGTAATTTTACAAAAAAATTTGAGAGTCAATGAATGCGATAGTGATTAGAAAAACCAGGTGGCTGTATAATTTTGTCCAGCTTTCAAAGAGGGCTTTTTCGATTTTTTTTCGTTTTTCTCCGTTCAAACTCAACAAGACTGGAAGCCGTTTTGAGGGGTTATGGTAGGTTGACATGCGCACAATATAGCAAAGTTTCAGACAGATTCATTAACAAGAACAAAAATTACGACGATTTCTAGAGTGGCTGTATAATTATGTCCAGCACTGTATAACAGTCTCGTTTACTTTAAAAGATCAGAATTTTGAAATGTCAGCATCTATGAGCAAGGCATTGACATGAAGTGAGTGCGACCCGAATCAAAGTAGTAGCGATAGTGTTTGTTTGATAAACGATAGCTCTTGCGATTGAGTATTAGTGTGCAAAGATTGAGCGGTATTCTTTCAACTTCAATCATTCTGTTTTAAGAACACTTGCTCTTTTCCCTTACAAAAGCTCGATAGGACATGCTTCAAAAAGTACTGTAGCAGTATTTAATAAGTTCTACAGATAGAGAACCAAAGTCAATAATGCTTTTTTGCTTGAGGCTACTTTTTAGCGTTTTTGATAGCCTAATGGCACTGCTTTATGCACATTGCTAATGTCTTGTAGCCATCCTCGTACTCGTACCCGTCGACCCTTTCGCAAACCTTCGTTTCTTCCCCATCATCTTCTGACGTGCGGCATATGTACTTCCGCCTAAAATTGATAAAGTTTTCATTTCGAACGAAGCCGTACAATCTGATCTTACTTTGCGGCACGCTGCCTTTTGATCCCTCCAGGGTTTGCCTGCTCTGGCACTGACAATACCATGCCACACATTGCCAGAAATACTAGGAGCGGTAAGAGCTTCATTTTGTTGGTAGTGTTGGATCCTGAAAAAATATTCAATACATAAAATTAGAATTTAAGATAAAAACTGCGATAACTGCATGCGGAATATGTTAGGGGGACAAGTCCCATCCTAGGATTTTTGTGCTATGAAGATATTCGCTAAGATGATATTGTGAATGTAAGGGAGGTGATGGAGCGAGACCGCCTTGCAGAATTGTGCTTTAAGCAAATGTGTATGTGTTGTAATATTTATATGTGTCTACATTCTCGGGCAAATTGGTGCTTATCTTTAGCATTAATAGCCACCTGCGGCAATCAAAAGCGTGCATGTTTCGCCTAAAGACATTCAATCATGAAATTGAAACCAAAAATTCATTACGGAAAGAATCGATTCGCTTGTAAGCCATGTGATGGTTACACGTCCAAAGACTGTCGAGCTAATGAAAAAAAAATGATGCTAATTTTTGGTCAAAAACCACAGAGATTGAGAGCAACCTGATTGAATTATGAAACTGAAACCATTTGAACAGCTCCCCAAAGAAAATCTAGATTAAAAACATTATCACAAGATGTGAAATGCATACTTCATCATTGATCCTAAAAGCTTAGCTAGCATATCCGGTTTCGCACGTCTTTTTCAATAAGCCAAAACCGGGTTACCATTTGTTCCATACCCTAGATTACCATTTCTCCCTATCCTTGTCGCACTCCCGCATACCACCTTTCTATGGCCGTATTTATCAATGACCGGAGGGTAAACCTTACTCCAGAAAGTGATTAACCCGTAGTTACGAAGCGGGTAAGCTTGACCACAAGGGTTAAAAGTTCCCTTGAGGGTAAGCCTTGCCCCAAAAGCGACTAACCCCCTATTGAACATGGCTTGTCAGGGCAAGCTTAACTCTAGCATAGAGCAAGGTTAAATTTACTCTGACTCTTCGTAAAATTATGAGTGATCCCTCTATGAACTACTCAGTCTTAACGATACTGTTTTGACAACAAACAAACATTTCTAGTTATTACTACCTCAACGCCCTCTTTGCCTCTCCTCTGATCTTTTAGTATTTTGTTGATCAGCTCTGAGAGTGTATCTTAAGCTACAGTAGTTTGATCATGTATTATCATTTACTGAATATATAGGTAGACTAAAATTTGAATGAGGGAGTCCTTTATTGCGAGAATTTTCCGAGTTATTGGGCTAGATGTTCGCCGTATCAAAGACCTTAGTTGGACTCGTACTTTATTCAAAACCAGATCTTTTACTGTAACAACTCCCCCGTATATAATACCGGATGATAACATCAAGCAAAAATACGAAAGGAGATCATCAAAATTTGATGCAGTACTAAAGGATGAAGATAAAGGATTTGGCGTCTTCAATACCCTCTGCGAGCATGCGCCGAACGCACACTACTTCATAGTCGAAGAGGCGACTGTATGCGTGCGAGCCTATACAGTGACTTGCGGGAAGCAGCCGGTCACCAAGTCAGTGCTTTTATCCTCCCGGCTTACTCTGGTCCCAATTTACCGGCCCGGAGGGTAGAGGGCTTGGTTGGCTTAGGGGCGGGGATCGAGCCTGTGCTCGATCTGGTCATAACGGCGCCTCATACCGCTACGCCACTCGTCCCCTATGCAGCACTGACTATAAATAATATGTGTTTGTTTTCAAAACAATACCACTAGGAATGAGTGGTGCATGAGTGATCACTTGGTGTTTGTACAAAGTGTCGGAGTGAATCTAATCTTGCTAGGGTTAAATTTAACCTGATGCGCCACGTTGATGAGTACAGGGTTGATTGCTTTCTGGGGTAAGGTTTACCCACAGTTGTAAGGTTTGCCCTCAAGGTTCGTCGGTGAAATTGAGGTCAATCGCTTTCCGGGGTAAACCTTACGTTGATGAGTATTGCCAATGAGCCCTGAGGGTAAACTATCTTAAGGGTAAGGTTTACCCTCAGGGTTTATTGATGAATTCAGTCACTGGTACCACCAAGTTTTTGTAGCTGCTGCATCGTCGTTGTACCGTTGTGACAGTCGTCTAACGTCCTCCCGTAAGCTGGGTTTAATCAGTGCTTGACTCGCACTGATAGGATGGCGTTGGTTCCGACGCTGTCAAAGGCTTTCTCGTAGTCGACGAAGATTATGAGAGAGGCAGTCGGTATTCTTGATATGTGATTCATGCAGTTGGATGCGAAATCCAACTTGTCTTAAAGCTTGACTTTGTCCAGTGCTATAAATATGCAAGCGAGAATGCCCTTTGTGTAAAGCTTGTATAACACACTTAACAAGGATATTGGACGGTAGTTCCGAAGACTTACGTTTGTCCTTCTCGTAAAGAAAGGCGGTTCTTGCACTCCTTCACTGGTTGTATTCTAAAGATATGATGTTGAATGCGACGCGAAAATCTCGTGTAGACGTTGTCTTCCGGCTCGCAGAAATTACGGAATCAGGTTCTGGAGCCATGGCACTGAATAGCGCTGCTTATTTCCAGGTAGAATCCGGTAGAATAGGTGGCAGGTAGAATCCGTGGTGTTACCTATCCAGTGGAGACAACGGCCATCGGTACTGGTGTTGATGAGCGGAAGAGGTTGGTGCAGAAGTTCTTTGCAATATACATCGGGAAAAAGTAGGGGTCCCGCCTTCCTTCATTTTGTAGGCAGCGATACGTGATTTTCACAGAAGTCCCTTCATCAACTGCTTCCAGTAATAGCTCGTTTGTACTTTCTGAGATCCTCCTAGAAAGCTGTTTCTGCAAGTGGCGTTGATTACCGCTATAGATGTGATCTTACCTCAAAAATCTTCTTCTTTCGAGTAGTTCCTCAATGGTTTTCTAAATGCGTTTCCACGTTTTTTCGGAACTCAATGACGCGCAATCGCCACAAGCTCGCAATCTTGGAAGCGTGTCGTAGCCGTACGATAGGCTCTTCCGCCTGCTATCTTCATAAACGGCTTCCTTCTTGCGGCACTGGTGCAGACCTTCTTCTAGCTTTCGTCTAAATCGTAACTTCGCTCGAAGGAGGCGGTGATCGGAGCCGCTGCAGAGAATGGAGCTACTGAGATATCGAGCAAGTTCAACTTTCGGTTTGCGAGAATGTGGTCGATCTTCAACGTGAGTTCTTCGGTTGAGCGTTTCCCATGTCTACCGGCTATGTCCTCCCTCTCAAGGATAGAATCTCCATGGATTGAATCGTGTGGAGAAGTTTAAAGGAGCGGTTTAATGGTCCAACTTCGGCTGTTTAATAATCTTGGCATTTTAGTAGATATTGCTGTGTTGTCTCTTTGAGCAGCAACCAAGATGTTATAACTATTTATTCAACCGGCCAACGTTTCGGCTTTTTCGTCTTCGTCAGAGCCTGGAAAGTCGAATGTATAAGTGACGCATTCACTCAGACGCCAACATCAAAGCTCAGGATATCATTCAATCCGTGAACAGTACAAAAGCCAAGGTAGATTAACGGACCGCCGAACTCACCTTAGATGACACGACAGGAGGCGCATTGACCACCGAATGGGGGATATGTACCTCCACCTTTTTTTATAGCAGCCGTGTGACCTGACCTCATATCAAAACATACAGAGGGATTGATATGGCACGAGTTCATTAATTACCGCCAAGCACTCTTCCTTCCGGTCCATTTTTGGACTCGGCGTTTATCCCGAAGGCCTCCAAAGTTTTGCGCGCTAGCACTTTGGGCTCGTAGGTCAGTATCTTGACTCCAATTTGTACCTCGGCGCTTTCATGGTGCACGATGCGATGACTACCCAAGGGTGTTGATGGTTTTAACTTATGCAACCCGTCCAGGTGTTCCTTAATGCGTGAGCAGAGATAGCGGCCTGTTTCTCCTATGTATGTTTCATCACATGATAAGCATGTGATGAGATACACTACTCCCGAAATCATACAGTAGCCCCTTACCGTATGGACAAATTACACAGTTAGGCGTCAAGCATGTGCGATCGTATGATCGATTCCGGACCAGTCGCCGTTTCAGATTGGGGAAATATCGACCACCCTAACGCTGTCCTTCAAACCCACCTGGTATACACAGTGCCGCACTGCAGTGCTAATTTCGTTCGAGACGAACGGCAAGCAAAATGCGATTTTGTTAGTGTCGTATCCAGGAAGCTGGTACTGGCTCTACGACCTGCTAATCCGTGTGGGTTAGAAGTAGGCTCTGCACCAGCATACCCATTAGACTTGGCTACTTGAGAAGCTAAATCCATAGAGTAAATCCGTACTTGGATACCCGAAGAAACTTTTGCTGCTGTGCGATGCATATTACCTATAATTGCCCTTTCAAGCTTTCTGGGGTGCGCGGACAGATAATGTACCAGTATATTTTTACAGCTGGGTTTGCGGTACTATTTTGTCTTATATTCCCCACCCGTCAGGCATACTTGTACGTTCAAGGACGGTAGCCAGTTTTTGGGGGGCGGGCGTTAGGTACCCAGCCGAGATGCGGGCGTTAGGTACCCAGCCATTAGTGGTATACACTAAGCCACGCCCCATAATGGCTCAACAGCGGGTACCTAACGATACACCTAATCCTAGCTGCCAAAACAGCTCACCTAGCTTGCGAAAGTGCTGGCGCTTGCGACCCACAGAAAAGAGAGAGTTTGAGGAAATCAAAAGAAAAAAGCGCGAATGAAAGCGCAAGTTTTTATGGAGCGTTTTTCTATTGCCTCTTTTTTCAAATTAAGAAGCTTTTATAAGCACTTCACATAGTTCAAGAAAAAAATGTGGTAATCGGATCTAATCGATAATGTCAGCAATTTCAAAAAGTAAACTTTGTTGAATTCCAATAAACAGATGCTGGCAATTAAATGCGAGAAATAATCCTTTGTTCCAAAAAACTACTTCAAATACATTTTTTGACAATGAGAAGTGGAACCTATTGGAAGAAGAGCTTCCACGAGAAATTGTCATCAAAAATCGGAACTTTATAGTCTATGTGACCCATAATTTATGGAAAGGCACTAGCTCTGTTCCAATCAATGAAAGTTTTGCATCACAGAGCGATTTCGAAGCCAATTTTGATGGAGTGTGTGCCGATAGAATGAAATAGGAAAAAGC